GAAGTAAAAGGCAAATCTTGAACAGGTCCCACATGTTTCTTAGAAGTTAACCAACACAGATTTTCCAATGTAATTGGCCAATGATTTCTTACAACTTGTTCCCTGAATAAAGGACTTTGCAACGAATGGTTGATTAGAGAGTGCCTTAATGTATTGTCTGATCTTCCCTTTACCAACCCTGGTCTGCTTAAGCAAGCTTTTGTAGAAAGAGAACATTATTAAGCAAAGCCCTTTCAAAGTACTCTGTTTTTCCTCATTATTATATTTGGCTTCCCTATGATGTTACTTGACAGTTTTAGTAGGTGAAATCTACTTTTCTTGATGTTAAACATACTCAGTTAAGCATAGAGGACTTTTGACCTGTGTTATGAAAAAGGGCAAGTATTTAATCAGATACATTAGAATAAATGCCTTGCTAATCATCGTTATCATAACAGTAGGTTATACTGGTAGCCAAGTTGATCACTGCTTTGTTGAATATGAGAGAAGGCCCTTAGCTTCCAAGACATGGTTAAAATTTATTTCCATGCTTTCCTTTTTCTTTTTGTGAAGTGTAGTTGGCTCGACTAAGGAGCTTTGTGATTCTGGAAACCAGCACTTTAAGCAATGCGCTGTGTGAATATTTGACACCGTGGCTGCGTGTCTGCTATGCCAAGTTTCATTGCGTAAAAAGGAAGATAAAAGTAAAAAAAATGTAAATTTGGAGAAAAAGGAAAGATATACGTAGTGTATTACGAGTATACAGAACGGTCCGGTTATTCCGCAGCTTAGAACAAACCTTAGTCACACTTCAATTTGGCAATAAATTAGGCCCTGTCGTTTGGTTATATCCTACTGTCACTATGTGTAGTAATATACTCATCTTTTTTGTTTGATTTCCATGGCAATCGGATACACGTGTGGCATACTTACTTTTACTTGCGGCATGCGGCATGCCGAGGCTTGCTGAAATAATTATGAAACGTTTTGGAATTTCCTTGAATCTTCCTGGACATCTTGGAGCTTGCCTAATCACCCTCGGAAATAATATCGAACTACTTTTTGTACATGCACATCAAACATGTGTTTGAAAGTTCATACAACTTGTTATGTTTTTGGGACTCCAGTTAAATCTATAAACACATAACAGTTCATCAAGCTTGCACTAGTTTTTATAGGAACAAAATTGAAGTGATTTTTCATTCTCTCTGCTTTCATACATCAGAATCCAACGTACCGTAGCAAGAGCTGGTAACACAATCACATATATACCTACTACTGGCATATGGGATACCAAAGAGAAATAAACGCATCCATAGACATCTACTACTACAATTTGATGAAAACTACCAACTGCTAGAGCATTTGGCATACCAGCAACACCAGGGGGATCGCATTAAGTATACACCACTGGTTTTGGCAAAATGAAAAGAAAAAAAATGAACTACCGGTCTTTACCTTTTTTTTGGCGGCGCATGGTCTCCTTGTCTGCTGTTTTTCTATGGCACAATTAGAGGGCTTGTTAAAATGAGCACCCTCAAAAGCACTATTTCATCGTGATCTGAAAAATAAAAGTCGGAAAAGGGATCCAACTCGTACCAGTAAAATAGAAAATCGCCCACGTCTGCATGTACATTGCTCAATCATCTCACACGTTTTTATACAGCAACTAAACACCCCATACATTCATCTAACCCATCAGTTCTGGCAAAACTCTATAAGGCTAGGTACAAGGGACATATATAGTCGTATTAAGTATGCATCAATCGCACCTGTTTATCTATCTATCTACTCCACATCATGCACCATGCATCTGTACACTGATCACAATAATCAAATTGCCCATACATAACACAGATTCCCAAGAAGACAAAGTACGTAGAGTATAAATCAGTGAGTAGTTATGATATTGTAAGCCAATAGAGCTAGAACTAGTGGAGTGCATCCCACGGCTAAAGAAGAAAAATACAATGGCAGTGTACCAACTCTAACTAACCGCCGATTCGTCCGGTTCCATCTGGATGTGTCTGTACGGCCTTTTCACCTGCCCATGCCAGCAGCTAGTTACTGCACATGGAATCTGCGTAACCACTTGACTTTGAGTTCGATGAGTGCACATCAATTATATGGGACCTGGAGTAGGAGTAGCTAGTATTTAGTTTTTTTGTTCTTTTCGATCTTCATTTCACTTTTTAGGTCAAGGCTCTCAATCCTCATCTGCGAGCTGTTGGTTCCATCTAATCTAGCCTGGGGCTGGAGGCGATCGTTATTCAACTGAGCCCTTCCCTTTAGTTAGATGCATGCATGCTTCGTACAAAAAATTACCTGAGTACACAATCTAGGTCTCAAGTATACTACCTCGGGTTTGTAAGGTGAGAGCGGGGTCTTCAGTTTGACCAGTGAAACGTTTTGTCATACGTCGGTGGAAGAAACGTCTTATATTATGAGACGGAGGGAGTATATCATTGGATTCGTCGTCGAACAAAGTTTCTAAACATATACTTTTGGTGGCTTGCTACACATA